GAAGACCTGGATGCTAGTTGTCTTTCTCCACATGTAGTGAAGTTAGCCTCACTATTCTGGCAAGGCACCAGCAGGGATAATCACCTTCTGCTGACTTTGATATGGCAAATGTGCAAGTACTGAGGCTAACATTGAAGACTTTGAGAAACTAAAAAAAAACCCACACATGTGAATGGAGGCTAAAAACTTTTCAAAACACAACTCAGCCATAAACATAAGGGCTCTAGATGTACATATTTTCATTCACATTCATCCAATGTACCTTGAAGCACCTAAGACTCTTCTACTGCTAGCTCTGTTTTCTGCAGCACCCTTTTAGTTAGGGACGAACATGGGCACTTCCAAGAGACCATTCATTCTATATAAGATCTAAATCACTTTCATCATCTTGGATGTCTTCCTTGCTAAAGAATAGGCAAGATAGGTCCAGGCCAATGATTTTAAGGCATGGGAAAGCCAAAAAGTCACTTCTCTTTAGATTGTGTGCTAAAGATATTCCCTGATTGTATCATTTAGACAGACTTGTGAGCAAATTAACTAATTTAGTGTCCTGCTCTGAGGTGCAGTGATCAAGCACAGGGCTGCCCACAGACACCTCTAAACAGTCCCAATTGCATCTACTGCTTCCTTTTTAATTTCTTTTCTTGATCAGAACTTCCTCCGTTTACCCTTTCCCCATTGACTGCTTTATGGTCTTAACTGGTATTCATTATTTGATTGCCCTGTTTTAATCTTAATGATTTCCCTTTTTCTAGCAGTCCTCTTTCACTAGAGCTCTTGCTCTGTGATTCCTTCTGTTAGTAACTTATTTTTGTAGCCACATTTGCTGCATAGCCTTACAACTTCCAGAGAAGTCAAGAGTGCATGCCAGTGCAGGCCATATGCAGAAAGAGCCACAGGCAGTCTCTTTCCTTATCCTAAATGCAAAGCAGCCTTCCCCTCTTTCAGCAAAAGGATGTGCTAATAATACAGTCAAAAGCAAAACCACAACAGCATTTATCCATGTTTCATTCACCAATATAAAATATATCCCTTTCTGAGAACCTTTTGTGGATCATCAGATAAACTACATTATCCATTTTTTTATTATTATTTGCTGCTAGCATCTGGATACACCTTGCACTTCCACTGCAGGAAGACCCTCTCCCTGGAGATCTGACATGCCATTGCTCACTGACTATACACTCACAGCAGATTTTTTTATCATGGAAACGCATTTGAGACTCCCTGAAGGAATGCCTGAAATTTGTATTGACTCTGAGGAAAGTGCAGATCTCAAATAACCAAATACCGGATCCCAGTTTTTACTGGGATATCCCCAGAGAGTTTCCTCTGGAGTGACTGCAACAACTCTAGGATTTCCAGGAAAAAAAAAATAAAAAAAGAATCCCTGTCTTGTGACTAAGTCCCAGCTGCTTTGGTAAAACTGCGAGCAGTATGAACTGTGCACAGTTCCCTCAAGTACACTTAAGAAGGCAAGGTCTGTCAAGCAGCTGCCAATACTTTTAATACACAGCATTTAACTTCACTCCAAGCAGTTCCAAATGGCACCCTGTTAAAAGGAACCTCAGGTGTAAGACCCTGGAAAGCCAACAGCAAGAAAAAGCACTTCAGCCAGAGTGGAATTGCCACTGCTGAACAGGACCAAGAAGGTCTGCCAGGCTCATCCTATAGTTCATCTTTCAGCTACCCTACCATCTATTCCTGTCACATGTTCCATAATCTCTTACCCAACCTCTTTATGTTTGCCAATCGCCCTTCCCATCTGCTACCAACTGTGAGAACCCCTCCAACAAATGCATCCTCTTCCAACAGATAATCTTTTAGTCTGACTATTGTATGAATTTTCTGCTTCATTCAATTATATTTTCCCCAGATAGCGGCCCTTAACAAAAGCAGATTGCACAAGCCTTTCTGTTTTTCTGTTTTCTGCCAAGCTCCAGATTCAAGATAACGGTGGATGAATGCAAGCTGAATGAATTGCTATTGCATGGCCAGACTGCCATCAATGGCAAATTGAGACCCTTTGTATCTTCATCAGTAGCATTGTTTAATTCCCCAGAACACATAATAACTAATTATTTTTGTCCTTTTTCTTTTTTTATTTTTCCCAAGGAAATTACACTGCAAAAACCTTTGACTACAAAATCCACATTTCAGTCACCAGCCCAACACAGACCTCCAAATTTTAAAGGAATGACAGCTTAGGTTGGCTGAATTTTTATTAGATCACTTTTTTTCAGGAACAAAATCCTTTACAAAGTTGGGAACTTTCAGAAGATATTAAAATTACAGACAACTACAACAAATATACAGAAATGTAATATTCAAGATAGTAAGAACAGAACTTGGGAATTTTTTGCTTGTGAATCTATGATATAAAGACTTTTCACTAATTGGGAGTATTAAAAATGTAATAAAATACTCTTTTAATCCTTGAACTACTTATTCCTGCTTTTATTATGCATCCTAAATATTCTTTTTTATCATTTCAGTGAGTTGGCATGGTTTTTACTAGACTGATATAGATCCCCAACTATAATTGCATGCACTTAAAATTTGATTGCATTTCAGGTTTAGTAGATGACTACTGAAAGAATTTTGTGATTGTATGCTAACTGTTTAAAAATCAAGTTAGTTATGCACTGAGCTCATTTGAAATGCTTAGTTTGAACCTTAGCCTTACTTTAACTACAATAATCAGCAAGTTTAACTGCAATAATCAGCAAGTATTTTCATTTAAGGATGAGACCAATATTTTTACTGTGTCTGCACATGGTCAATACTTAGAAACTATTTGTCATGGTGCATGATACTTTAAGGAAAGACTGCTGTCAATTTTAATACATATTTAAGTTATGTAGGTCAGGATCTATTCTTCCTTTGTCTGATATGACAAGGTTTTTCTCATCATGGTAGCAGTCTAAGTTGAGAAGGCATTTAAACATGGGCATAATGTTAAGTCTATCAGTCTAACTGAATTCAGTGACACTTTTTGAATGCTTAAAATTAAACATATAGTGAGCTGTCTTTGGTTGAACAAGATAGATATGTGGAAGATAGGTCACTCTAAATCAGGCTAAATTAAAAATGTTGAAATATAAGCATTCTGAAGAACTAAAAATACATACTTCTTTTAAAAAAAAGACCTTTAAAATGTGTTTAAACAGTGAACATTTTTATATTACAGGTATATATTTTGCATCTATGAATACATATACATGTTTCCAAGCATGTAACAGTATTTTAGTATTTAGATGTACTCCACTGATCCTGTAACTTTCAAAATAAACATAATATCAGAAGAATAAACTGGTTTAATAATATTTTTATCTCACAACATCCTGTCTTCTAAAAATATAGTAATTAATTCATTGAAATATTTTCTAAAATTTCTGCATCCTCCTTTGAATCAGCTGGGTCCACTGAATCGACCTTGAAAAAAGGAACCTTGTGTTTTTCTAGATAGTATGAGTTGATACACAAGATTTCTTAAGCAGGACAATGGCTATAAGCTAAAAGATGTAAAGAGAAAATTTTGGTTAGAAGCTGAAACTCAGCTCTTTTGAATTTCTAACAAAATTCATATCTTATTTTCCATAGCATGTTGAGAAAGTTTAAAGGCTGAATCTTTTCAGCAAAGTTTTTATTGGGAAAAAAAAAAAGTCTGATTGTCCATTTTAAAGCAAGCGTAAATTTAAAGACAGCAGAAATATTTTCAGGTTATAAGAAATTCTATGAAATTCTGGAATGAGCAGAAGAACATTCAGCATAGCCACCATGCTTTGTCCCATCTCTTTAAATCTCAGACATGTCCAACTCATATATGGGAGGGGGTACTTGCTTCAAAATCTCACTACTGGTCTGTGCCAACATGTAGGTGCAGTCTATTGTCAACTGCAATTCCCTTAGGATGGGATGAATTACATTTTAATTGTTATTCAAAAATGGTGAATATTGAGGGAGTAAAAAGTACTGCTTTTAAACAAACAAACAAGATCTAATTTTAAGGTCATTAAAGCCACGTATATTGGGTTATTATGGCAAGATCTTGGGGGGGCAGGGGTGAGTTAGAGAGATATTTTCTTTGAGAAGCTGTTGGAAGATTCCCTTGGTAGGAAGCTTGCCAGGCTGGTCAAGGATGCTTTAAACGAGTTGTGTTGGGGGAGGAGGGCATCATTCCATCCCAACACACCCAGTCAGTTGCTGGAACCTATAATAAATGCTCGGAGCAATGTAGAGATATCCCAGCCGCTCCAGCCAATGAGCTGGCTTCAGTTGGAGCTCGGCTCAGATGCCTCTATACAAATGCCCGTAGCATGGGGAACAAACAAGAGGAATTAGAAATGTGTGCACGTCTGAGGGAATATGATATACTAGGCATCACAGAAACATGGTGGGATGGCTCCCATGACTGGAGTGTTGGAATGGAAGGTTACAGGCTCTTTAGGAAAGACAGGCCTGGCAGGCGGGGAGGGGGAGTTGCCCTTTATGTTAGGGATAGGCTGGAGAGTATGGAACTCTGTCTGGGGACAGTTGATCAGTCCACAGAGAGTTTGTGGGTCAGGGTTAAAGGGAAAACAGCGGTGGGAGACATTACTGTGGGGATCTGTTACAGGCCGCCTGATCAAGGAGAACCTGCAGATGAAGCATTCCATAGACAGATAGGAAAAGCCTCACGCTCGCAGGCCCTTTTTCTCATGGGTGACTTCAACCACCCTGACATCCGTTGGAAGGACGGTACGGCCCGGCACAAGCAATCCAGGAGGTTCCTCGATTGTGTAGAAGACAACTTCCTTCTGCAAGTAATAGAGGAGCCGACAAGGAGAGGTGCCATGCTTGACCTCGTGCTCACCAACAGGGAAGGGCTCGTTGGAAATGTGATGCTCCAGGGCAGCCTTGGATGCAGCGATCACAAGATGGTTGAATTTGAGATCCTCAGGACAGTGAGAAGAGCATGCAGCAAGCTCACTGCGCTGGACTTAAAGAGAGCAGACAAGGGGTAACGGGTTAAAACTTAAACAGGGGAAGTTTAGATTGGATATAAGGAGGAAATTCTTTCCTGTTAGGGTGGTGAGGCACTGGAATGGGTTGCCCGGGGAAGTTGTGAATGCTCCATCCCTGGCAGTGCTCAAGGCCAGGTTGGACAGAGCCTTGGGTGAGATGGTTTAGTGTGAGGTGTCCCTGCCCATGGCAGGGGGGTTGGAACTGGATGATCTTAAGGTGCTTTCCAACCCTAACTATTCTATGATACTATGATTCTGTCCAATAGAGCCAATGACAGTCAGCTCCAAGACAGACCCAACGTTGACCGTAGCTGAGCCCACAGGGGATGGTGGTGGTGCCTCTGGGATATTTATGAAAGGAGAAAAGATTCTGTGCAATAGCAACTGCATCCAATGAGAGGATTGAAAATATGTGAGCAAAACAACTTTGCATGCATCAAGGTCAGTGCACAAAGAGGGGCAGGAGGTGCTCCAGGTGGTAAAGCAGAGATTTACCTTCAGCCAATGGTGCAGACCATGGTAAGACAGCTGTGCCCCTGCAGCCCATGGATGTCCATGGTGAAGCAGATCTCTGCCTGCAGCCCATGGAGGACCCCACACCAGAGCAGGGGGTTGCCAAAGAAGGCTACAGGTCTGTGGGAAGCCCACAGTGGAGCAGGCTGTTCCTGAACGACTGAACCCATGGAAGAGACCTACTCTGGAGCAGTTCATGAAGACCTGCAGCCTGTGGGAAAGACTCAGATTGGAGAATTTCACAGAGGACTGTTTCCCATGGGAGAGACCCTACCCTGATACAGGGGAAAGGTGTGATGAGCTGACTGAAACCACCATTCTCTGTCCCCCTGTGCTGCTGGTGGGGATAAGGTAGAGAATGTGGGAGTAAAGTTAAGTCTGGGAAGAAGGGAGTAATGGGGAAAAGTCTTTTAAGATTTGGTCTTATTTCTCATCCTGCTCTGATCTGAGGCAAATCCATTTTGCCCATGACAGTAGCTGCTGAGTGATCTCTCCCTATTCTTATCCAGACATATGAACTTTTCATTACATTTTCTCTCCACTGACCAGTTGAGGAGAGCAGTAATAAAGTGGCTTTAGTGGACACCTGGCATCCAGCCAGGGTCAACCGACCAAACCAGGTAAGAGGACCTTTATATAATAACTATATTTAGCCTAATTGGAGCTTCATATTGCATAATTCTGAATATGTTTCAAAACCTGATCAAGTGAAAGAATCCTACTGACTTCAGTTAGCCCCGCATGAACAGCCCAACAGAAAGAGTATTCAGTTTATTTTCACCCAGAAGAGTTTAAACACTATATATACATATATTATATATAAATGCTGTAGTTTTTTCACTATACAGCATTTCTTTTTGTAACTCAGCAGTTTTGTACTGCAGTTTTGGAATAGTGGATTGTCTGTTGGGCATTTACTGCCATAACAGAGTCACCTTTAATAACAAACAATGCTGTTGTCTATAAAGTTAGTTTTGAAACCTAGTCAGATTTTTTCTATTTCTATTTCTAACATTTCTATGTTAGAACATTTGATGTTCCTATTGACATTTTTGCAAACTGGTATTTTTTTAAATATACCACAATTTATATGATTAAACAGTCCCATAGTTTTTAAGTCTATTGAAGACTAGCTTCTTAATACTATTTAACTTTTCTTCAGATCATATTGTGTCATATGAGAGTTTTTCTCTTTGCCTGCCTCTAGTGTAATTAAACCTTCTTGATACTTCAGTAAATCTTCTAGAGTTAACTGAGATTACAATGGAATCAGAGTGATAGTACAGTTAGGGTTGAAAAGGACCTTAAGATCATCTAGTTCCAACACCCCTGCCATGGGCAGGGACATCTCACACTAAGCCATGTCACTCAAGGCTATGTCTAACCTGGCCTTGAACACTGCCAGGAATGGATCATTCACAGCTTCCCTGGCAACCTATTCCAGTGCCTCACCACCCTAACAGGAAAGATTTCTTATATCCAATCTAAACTTACCCTGTTTCAGTTTGAACCCGTTAACCCTTGTCCTGTCACTACAGTCCCTAATGAAAAGTCCATCCCCAGCATCCCTATAATCCCCCTTCAGATATTGGAAGGCTGCTATGAGGTCTCCACGCAGCCTTCTCTTCTCCAGGATGAATAGCACCAACTTCCTCAGCCTGTGTTCATACAGGAGGTGCTCCAGTCCCCTGATCATCCTCGTGGCCGTTCTCTGGACTTGTTCCAACAGTTCCATGTCCTTTTTATGTTGAGGACACCAGAGCTGCACACAATGCTCCAAGTGAGGTCTCACGAGCGTAGAGCAGAGGGGCAGGATCACCTCCTTCAGCCTGCTGGTCACGCTCCTTTTGAAGCAGCCCAGGATACGGTTGGCTTTCTGGGCTGCGAGCACACACTGAAGCCAGCTCATGTTCATTTTCTCATCGACCAGCACTCCCAAGTCCTTCTCCGCAGGGCTGCTCTGAATCCCTTCTCTGCCCAACCTGTAGCTGTGCCTGGGATTGCTTCGACCCAGGTGTAGGACCTTGCACTTGGCATGGTTAAACTTCATAAGCCCACCTCACAAGTGTGTCAAGGTCCCTCTGGATGGCATTCCTTCCCTCCAGCGTATCAACCGAACCACACAGCTTGGTGTCATCATCAAACTTGCTGAGGGTGCATTCAATCCCACTGTCCATATCACCTACAAAGATATTGAACAAGAGCGATCCCAACAACCATCCCTGAGGGACACTACTTGTTGCTGATCAAGAGCCGAATATTGAGCCATTGACCACAACTCTTTGTGTGCAGCCATCCAGAGAGTTCTTTATCCACTGAGTGGTCCATCCATCAAATTGATGTCTCTCCAATTTAGAGACAAGGATGTCATGCAGGACAGTGTCAAACACTTTGCACAAGTCCAGGTAGGTGACATCAATTACTCAACCCCTGTCCATCAGTTCCATAGCCCCATCATAGAAGGCCACCAAATTGGTCAGGCAGGATTTCTCCTTAGTGAAGCCATGCTGGCTGTCACCAAGCACCTTGTTGATTTTCATGTGACTTTGCATGCCTTCCAGGAGAATGTGCTCCAAGATTTTGCCAGGCACACAGGTGAGACTGGTCTGTAGTTCCCTGGCTCATCCATTTTCCCCTTCTTGAAAATGGGAGTTATATTTCCTTTTTTCCAGTTGTCGGTAATATCTTTTCTACTGGAATAGATTTGGGTACTAATGAAAATTTTAAACCACAATTTAAGCCATTAGACTCATTTTCACTTATTTTTAATGACTCATATATAACTTTTTTTTAACATCACTAGACTGATTAATTATAACTTAAACTCATTTCAGATTTTAATCAACTTTTCATAGGTTAATTTGATTATATTTTGCTTACACATTCTTATGTGCCTACGTAGACTACCAGAAGCCATGAAATTTTCTTAGTCAAAATGTTTCTTCATTTTCCATGCAACTTGCTCAGTCATCCAACAATTAGTTCTACCTTCACTGGTTTTGAATATCAACTAAAGAAATGCTCTTGGTTCAGCTCTTGGAGACAGTGACAGCACAATAAAATTATGCTTTGCCTGTATCAACTAGTCTTATCACCCAAGGACTTCCTTGTCCAGTCGTAAAAAGTTAATATCATCTAGGATGTAGTGTAGTACAGGCCTATCTATGTTAACTCACCTAGATGGACATCAATAGATTATTTCAGTGTTTTCAAAGATTTTTCAGACCATTGAATTTGTGCTGCTGTTGCCAGACCACTCTGATTACCCATTGAAGTTACTCTAAAGACAGTTTGTGTGCATGTGTATTATGCTGCAGCTGCATAGTACACTATGATCTTATAACTTTTCTGGGTTTTTTCATACGTTATGATACAATTCAATGTTCTTGAACACAAATGGGTAAGATCATTACACTTTGCAAGTATTATTTTGTGTTCTTGACAGTTTTTACTCTAAGGAAATCACCATTTTAGATAGTGCAGTTAAGTGTCTCATGCCATACTCATCATAGGTTTAATTATCATTTGGAAAAAAAATGCAGTCTGTCTTCTTCATCATCATCATCATCATCATCATAGGTTAAACGCTTTTTATTACAGGGGAAGAAAGTGGTGGTCCATCTTTTTCATTCCGTACGGTTTTCAAAGATGAGATAATCATAAAAAGTATGAATGAAAAGAAATACAGTAGTGTTATTGGAAATATCTAAATAGTTCCTTAAAATTCCTATAAAATTAATTTTATAAAATAAAGATTTGCTGTTTGCTGTTAATATATTTTGAATTATTTTAATAACCCTTTTAGAGTCTGAAGACATTTTCTTTTCATAGTTTACTCATTTTATATCTTCTATAATTCTGTAATATTTTATATCTTAATAGCCTTTTTGCTAAATAAGCATTAGTGAGTTTGAAAAGCACAATATTTAAATGCGCTTCAAGCTCATGAGTTTTCCTACATTTATAGTTTTATGAAAGTCCCAGTATAAAAAAAGAAACAAAACTAAACTAAAACAGCAAACAACCCAAACACAAAATGGTCCCTAAGAAGAGGAGAGACAAGGAAAGTAAGGCTTTAAAAAAGCAGAAGCCCTTCAGACTGAGAAAACAGTCAATATGTATTTTCTTGTTAAGCAGTAAATATTTTATTTACATTCTTCAGTGGAATTTTTTTCTTTTGTATCCCTAAAGTAACAAACGGTCTCTAAAGCATTGAAATTCATGTTTTCTTACTCACTGCAGTTTCTTTTACATCTAGCAAATTCCACTGGTAATTTTATTTTAATTGAGGAAGAAATTAATGCTCAGATGGACAATACAATAGGGTTTAAAATGCTCTAACAATAAAGATTTTACTGAAAAAAAAAATTATGGTCCAGCAAAAATATGAAATGAAATAATTTACATTTTTTTAATATGCATTAATGAATAATCTGAAAAGCTGCTACTGAATACTACGGAAGGTGGTTTAACCTTACTGTTTTAGAAAGGTTTTTGATGACAGTCAAGAAAACCTTTTGAGTTAGTTACTTTCATGGAGCTTTTTAAAATGACTGTGGCAAAGGGTTATTTATTCTGCATTGTAAATAAGACTATGTATTAATTCTGAATAATAATTAAAGGCATATATTAAAACTGCTAAAAAGCCATTCACTTCGG